GCAGCCGGAGCGAGGCCCCATCGGGGTGTGCGGGACCAGCCGGCAGGGACAGAATCCGGGGCTGCGTCCCCCGGGCTAAACGGCCGCTGCGCCCCCGTGTCTGCTGGGGGTCCCAGGCTTCCCGCCCGCCCCGCGAGGCGCCCCTCCCGGGAAGGCGCGCACTTGAAGTACAGGGCCAGGTCCGTGGCGATGATGGCGATGTCCATCAGGTGGATCACGTGCTCGTGCTGCCGCCGGTTCAGGTTCTGGTAGATGTTCAGGGTCTGCAGAGGTCGTGCCCAGCGCGTCAGGCGCCCTGCGGTCACCTCTTGGGGTGCCCGGGGACCCCGCCCCCTCCGCCCCAACTGCCTGTGCCTCTCACGCCCTCCGGCCCTCGGTGGGCGGGACCCCTAAATCCTCCTGCTGCTCAGGGCCCTCCTCAGGGTGCCCAGACCTCCGCCAGCGGCTCCCGCCCGGGGTCGTCGGCTTGGGACGCAGATGGCCTCAGAGGTCACCACCGGGGAGGGCAGGGAGGGGGCCGCTGAGGGTCCAGGTCCTTGGGGGCCACTCAGGGCTTGGCTGCCCCTCATTCCCCCGTTGGTGGGTCCCAGGCCGCTTCCCCCTCGGCTTCCACCCCACCCCACGAGGGGTCCTTTCCAGATGTGGCTCAAGCCCCACAAGCGTCTTCCCAGAGCCTCCGATGCACCTGCCCCCAGCCTCGGCCCTGGGCCTTCTCTGCCGCCCTCACCCAGTGCTCACCCACCCAGTGCTCACCCTCCGCATCAGAACCCTGCTCCGCAGGATAGGGCTCTGCGGTCCTGCAGACGCTGCATCCCCAGCGCCCACAGCAGAAACCGAAAACGAGGATACCAACCTCCTCGGAGAGCAGGAACTTCCCAAACTCCAGGTGGTGCCGCTCCAAAATCGAGGAGCCGTGGAGTTTAGCCAAGGGATTCTGGGACCTGTCACACAGGTGGTGGGGGTGAGGCTGATGGGACCTGCCCTCAGCCCACCCTCTGCTCTGCAGCCCCTCCAGATGAGCCCCACTTTCTTTCTTTCTTTTTTTTGAGACAGAGTCTGGCTCTGTCACCCAGGCTGGAGTGCAGTGGTGCAGTCATGGCTCAACACAGCTTTGACCTCCTGGGCTCAAGTGATCCTCCCACCTCAGCCTCCTAAGTAGCTGGGACCACAGGCGTGCGCCACCATACACAGCTTTTTTTTTTTTTTTTTAAGTTTTTGTAGAGGAGAGATCTTGCCATATTGCCCAGGCTGGTCTCGAACTCCTGGGCTCAAGCAGTCTGCTCGCCTTGGCCTCCCACAGTGCTGGAGTACAGGTGTGGACCACTGCCCCGGCTGTGGACTCCACTTTCTACATAGTCTGCTATGTGGAGCCTGATTCATGCCAAGGGCGTGGAGTTGATGGAGGGCTAGTTCACACGCCTGCCTGCGGTGCCTACTTCATCTGGTACAGGTTGTTGGTGCCGCGGTGGTCGATGTCGTGGCACAGGCCGGCTGTCACCATGGCGAAGGCCTCCAGGTCTGTGTAGTAGCTCTTCAGTTTGCCGGTCTGTAGAGACAGGGCCGCCTTGCTCACCGGTCCTGGCTCCAGCAGGGTGGGGAGTGGTGAGGGGCTGGGATGGCAGAGGAGTCAGCCCGGGTGCCCTCCAACCACTGCAGGACTTGGGGGCGGGGTGTGCGGTGTCAGAGGGCATTGCCCTCCTCCATCCCTCTGCCCTGGGAGGACCCCCATCTCATCCCCCCGGGTGCATGAGCGCTGCCCTTGGTACCAGGAGGGCCTGCACAACCCTGGTCATTCTGGCAGCCACGCACCATAAGCAGCGTGAACATCGTCTGGGCCACGTTGAAGCCGTGACGCCAGTTGTGGTAGGTGATTCTCCGGTACCCTTTGCTGATGGAGAACAGGAACCGCACCAGGACCTAGGGGAGCCGAGAGGACACAGGGCTCCGGCGGCCAGTGTGTAAGTCGCCAGAGTGGCACATGTGGTTGACTTCATAGTGGAAGCTCTGCTCCGTGCAGTCAACCCCACACCGTCTCCTGGACTCCCCGACCTTCCCCAACCCTGCGTTTCCCCCTGGCCTCCGCTGGCCTTCCTGGGTAGGGGCTGCCACATTGGCACCTATGGCGTGGAGCCAGGCAGGGCAGGAGCTGAGAACAGCCCCAGCCTTCAGGGGCTGCCCGGCCTCCATCCGACTGCCTGGCCTCAAGCTGGGAGGAGGACCCCTGGGGACACAGCATATTTTAAGATGTCAGTTTTAGGCATGGACATTTGAATGAGCAGAATGTGTGGGCTGCAGGCTGGGATGGTAGAGCCGACGTCTGCAGGGCAAGAGAATGCTGGTCACTGGGAGCTTTTCCTGCAGCCATTGTGATTTTTAGGGTCAGAAAATTATTTGGAAATATTTTTCATTCTGCAAATATTTCTATACATCTTTTCTTGAGTGTTTTCCCTTAGTATTTAGTAAAATTTATTTTGAAAATGCCGGCCTGCTGCACCTGTTCTCAGAGGGGCATGAGAAAAGAGGATTCTCTTCCTTGGGCTGTGGGAAGCCCCCTGAGATGCAACGTTGGAAGCAGGGCAGAGCAGGAGAACCCAGGGAGGGCACAGAGCTGTGGACGAGGGCTGGGAAAGCCATGGGGTCTCCGAGGAGCGCCGCTGCGGCCAAACCTGGATGGCCGCTTTGTGCTCTCTGTTTAGGTGACGGGATGCCTCCATTTCCTCAGCACCCCACACCAGATCCCCTATGATTGCCGGATGATGTGCCTAATGATCAAATCCCTTGGAACTCCTAATAATAAAACTTTAAATCTATCCATTCACCATCCATCTGCTGTCCACCCATCCATTCACCCATTCATCGACCCATCTATTAATTCATGAATTGACCCACCTACTCATCTATCACTCATCCACCCACTTCTCCTTCCATCCATCCATCCATCCATCCATCCATCCATCCATTCACTTATCCAACCATCCAACTACCACTGGCCCACCCACCCATCCACCCATTTATCCAGCCATCCAACTACCACTGGCCCACCTGCCCATCCACCCATTTATCCAACCATCTAACTACCATTGGCCCACCCGCCCATCCACCCATTTATCCGACCATCCAACCGCCACTGGCCCACCCGCCCATCCATCCATTTATCCGACCATCCAACTGCCACTGGCCCACCCGCCCATCCATTCATTTATTCTTTGTTTCTTTCTGCTTACCTGTTTGCCTGCCTTCTTTCCTTCCTTCCTTCTTTCCTTCCTTCCTTCCTTCCTTCCTTCCTTCCTTCCTTCCTAACCTCCCTCCTTCCTTCCTGCTTTCCACCCACCCAGCCACCCATCAATCCAGCCATCCAATTATTTGTTTTATGCTTACTTCCCATATGCATTTTACCTGTTCTGTGATGAACATGTCTGCCTTCTAAACTTCCTGTGGGATCTGGAACCCCCAATTCCGTCCCCATTATCTCCTGGGGAAACTGAGGCCGTGACCACATCCCCATCCCCACATCCTGGGCGCCCTCAGGGACCTGACTATGCGCCCTGCGGTGTCTCCCACCTCCTGGGGGATCTGGAATTTTCGGACCACGCCCAGCTCGTAGTACATCTGGATGCCACATTTGACCAGGTCCAGTTCAGTGCACTCCAGGTCAGAGAAGTGGAATTCGTAGATGTCAAATGTGGTGGGCCCTGGCAGCTCCTCCTTCTGTGGGAGGGATTGTGGGCTGAGGGAAGTTGGCTTGCCACAGCCCCCACTTACTTCTCATCCTTTCTTCTCTCAGGATCCCCTGTCAAGCCTCAGACACCCCAGGCATCTATGAGGAGACGTGTCATTCCGGCGCTCCAGCCTGTATCCCAGGCTGCTCACACGCCCCGTGACTCAGCCTCACTCTCCCCTCTTCTACCCTGTGGCCCAACAGTGAAGAACTTGCCCAGTTGGGTGGACAGGGTGATGTTGTTGAAATAAGAAAACACAAAGGTGTGCACATGAAAAGAAACACACACACACACGGATACAGACACACACGTGACACAGGCACACCTGGACACACGGCCACTCCCGTGAATACAAAGGCACCAGTGTGGACACACAGGCGCACACATGAGCACCCAGGCACACCCACAGACACGCAGGCACACACGTGCAGACTCACACATGTAGGCTCACACACAGCCATGAGGTAACACACACAATAGTGGACTCACTAGCACATTCCCATGCTCGGCCCAAGGCCTCCTCACAAGGCACACGGCCCCGGGAGATTCTGGGTGAATTGCACAGGCAGACACAGGATGATGGGGACACCATGTAATCCCCACACTGATCCAGCAATGGTCTCTGGGAGACACACACAAGCATGTGTCTCTATATACCCATATGCACACACATGCGCACACAATACACACCCACCTGTGCACACATGAGCACACACACATAAACACCCATGTGTGCGCACACACACGTGCACACACCCCCACATATGTACACGTGCATACTCATATGCATGCACACACATGCACACCCACATGTGCACACACATGCACATAGACATCCACATGTGCACATGTGTACACATCTGTGCACACACACACAGACACCCCCGTGTGTGCACACATGCAGATGCACACACACTGGGTGTTGCAGGCACCTAGGCACTCAACAGCAGAAATGACGTAGACGGACACTTAGTCCAAGTCAGGCCCACTAAACATCTGGTGAAGACTAAACATCTGGCAAAGCACAGAGGAGACAGGAAGACACGAAGATACACTCAGGAGTGCAGACATCAAACCCACATTCTGGTCATGCAAACACTCAGAGACACACTGGCTGAGACTGAAAGCTTAGGTAGACACACGTACACGGAGGTGCTTAGATACACAAGTACACACACACACAGAGCACCAACATCCCCGATGTCACTGTGTGTGCAAAGCACCCTCGGGTCCCGGAGAATGGAGAATGCTTCCTCCCAGCCTCACACGTGGCCGGCCTCCACGGGAGGGACGGGAGTGAGGTTCTTACCAGGATTTCGCCCAGCTCGTCCTCATCGCAGTCAGCAGGCTCCTTCCCCAGGCGGGCTCTGGTTGGCTAGCACAGAGACACAGATGTGTCACAAGAAGGAGCCTCGCGTGTGGGACAAGGTGACAGCAGTGCGTCCACCCCGTGTGAGCTGGAGGAAGGTGCTGCCAAGAGCTCATGCTTTCTCCTTGGGAAGGCCGTGGCAGCCTCTGATCTGGAGACAAACGACCGTGTGCACGGCCTGCTCACTTTCCCACCTGCCCTGTCTCTTGGGCACTGCTTTACAGTCCTCAGGTGTAATGATGGGACTCTCTCATGATGACCAGGAGGGCTCTGGCCACACAAGGCCACACTGGCTGGGGAGATCGAGCACAGGGAAGGGGTACCGGAGCTATGCAGACAGAGAGATCTCAGGGGGCATGCTGGGGCTGTACTCGGCTCTGGCCCCAGGGCCGTGCCCCCGCCACACAGAGAGAGCTGTGACCCCTGGGTAGCCTGGCCCCACTGCACACCTGTGACCCCTGGGCGACCTGCCCCCACTGTGACCCCTGAGTGACCTGGCCCCCCACTGCACAGAGGGAGCCATGACCCCTGGGCGACCTGCCTCTGCCGCACATCTGTGACCCCTGGCGATCTGTTCCCACCGCACAGCTATGACCCCTGGGTGACGTGCCCCTGCCGCACAGCCATGACCCCTGGGTGACCCCTGGACGACCTGCCCCCGCCGCACCAGGATGAGCTGGATCTCGTCCCTGTCACACTTCACGTGGTAAAGGACCATGTCCTGTGCGATGTCCTTGCGGTTCTCCAGCTTGTTCATCTTGTCGTGGGTGTCGGTGTTCATCACTGACCAGCCCAGGAACTGTGTCAGGGACTGGAGGGGGTGGCAGTGTCACCGGCGCTCAGTGCTCCTGGCACGCCCCCTCCCGTGTGCCCGTGTGCCCGGGCCCGTGGCTTGGCAGGCAGGTCCTGGGGCTGCCACCGTGGTGTTGCAGTGCTTCCGTGCGGGGTCTCCCGGGTGCTCTACAGAGTCCCCTGCCCGGGGGGGGGCCCTTTGTCATCCTCTCCCTGGCCGCACGCTGCACCACACGTACATAACACGCACATGAGCACGCACGCACGGCTGAATGCGTGGTAGGGAGGCCCCCACACTGCACAGGCCCCACCCCTCGCAGGGCATCCCCGGCGGAACCACGTCTGCCCAGGTGCTTACCTCCATGAGAACCTCGTCCTGTTCATCAAAGGGCTTCCCGTCTTTCCTGTTGTAAAACGTGGCGACCCCCACGATCTCCTCCTTCTTGTTGACAATGGGCATGGACAGCACATTCTTGATGAGCCACCCGGAGTCATCCAGGGCCCCTTCCTGCGGGAGCGGTGTCCAGAGCTGAGCTCTGCCCTGAGGCTGGCCCTGACCCAGTGTGGCCGGGGAGAGTGACCTCACGTCTTCTCCCCTAGAGCCGTGACAACTGGACTCATTCCTGTCTCTGCTCTCTGCATTCCCTCTCTCCCGCTCTCCCTCTTTGCATTTGGAGTTTATGTCCATGGTTTTTGTGTCATGATATTTTCCCACTGGAGGAGGTAGAGGCTGTTTTCCCACCAGGGGTGGTTTCACAGATGTGTGTGTGGGGGCTGCGGTCACGGCCTCACGGGCGTGTGTGGGAGCTGCGGTCACGGCCTCACAGGTGCGTGTGGGGCTGGGGTCCCGAGGAGCCGCTCTCCGTCCCGTGTGTGGCTGAGTGCTCTGCTGTCACCCTCTTAAAGTTCTTCATAATTAATTGCTAATCAAGGGGCCCCATGTTTTTATTTGCCCTGGACCCTGGGAATGATATGGTTGCTCCTGTCTCCCATCCCACGGGTCCTGGGCCCGGCCAGTGAAATATGGACGGTGGGCTGGTTCCCAGAGGAGGCCCCCAGGGACAAAGTGTGTTTGGACCAGCCCGGTTGGCCCTCCACCTTCCCCAGGAGTGAGCCTGCCCTGGCCATGCAGCCCCAGATGGACGTGCGTGGAGCAGACTCAAACCCTTGTCCAGCCGAGCCCTGTCTGGCCCAGCGAACCCAGCGAGTCCAGCTAAGATCAGCTTAGCCCCACTGAGCCTCAGCCGACCTCCAGACCAGTGAGCATGAAATACAGGCTTCTGGCCAGCTGCTGGGACTTCAAACTTGTTTCTTTTTTGTTTTTTTGAGACGGAATCTTGCTCTGTCACCCAGGCTGGAGTGCAGTGACGTGATCTCAGCTCACTACCACTTCCACCTCCCGGATTCAAGCAATCCTCCTGCCTCAGTCTCCTGAGTAGCTGAGATCACACCCAGCTAATTCTAATTCTTTTTTTTTTTTTTTTTTTGAGACGGAGTCTCGCTCTGTCGCCCAGGCTGGAGTGCAGTGGCGCGATCTCGGCTCACTGCAAGCTCCACCTCCTGGGTTCCCGCCATTCTCCTGCCTCAGCCTCCCATGTAGCTGGGACCACAGGCGCCCACCACCATGCCTGGCTAATTTTTTTTTTGTATTTTTAGTAGAGACGGGGTTTCACCGTGTTAGCCAGGATGGTCTCGATCTCCTGACCTCGTGATCCGCCTGCCTTGGCCTCCAGAAGTGCTGGGATCACAGGTGTGAGCCACCGTGCCCAGCCTCTAATTATTTTTTGTATTTTTAGTAGAGACAGTGTTTCACCATGTTGGCCAGGTTGGTCTTGAACCCCTAACCTCAGGTGATCCACCTGCCGCGGCCTCCCAAAGTGCTGGGATAACAGGCGTGAGCCACCACACCGGCTGAGGTTGTTTCTTAAGTGGCAAAAACTAATTCACTTCATTATTGCTGAATCAAAACCTCTTCTTTTGTAAGCAAGTATTATTTCTACCAAGGCACGGACAGATACCTGAAATGTGAACATTTCATCAGCGGAAGCATTCATGATGTTACAAATCTGAAAAAGGATCAAAAAACGATTTCATCCAAAGCAGCTGAGGGTCTATCATGATCTAAAATGGCCTATGTGGCCCTGAGGTGAGCTTCTTTTTTTTTTTTTTTTTGAGACGGAGTCTCGCTGTGTCTCCCAGGCTGGAGTGCAGTGGCGTGATCTCGGCTCACTGCAAGCTCCGCCTCCCGGGTTCACGCCATTCTCCCGCCTCAGCCTCCCGAGTAGCTGAGACTACAGGCGCCCGCCACCACGCCCGGCTAGTTTTTTGTATTTTTAGTAGAGACGGGGTTTCACCATGTTAGCCAGGATAGTCTCGATCTCCTGACCTCGTGATCCACCCGCCTCGGCCTCCCAAAGTGCTGGGATTACAGGCTTGAGCCACCGCGCCCGGCCGAGGTGAGCTTCTAAGTAGGCAAAGCAGAGCAGCTGGGGGCTCGCTGAGGCACACGGAGGCCGGCCAGGAGCCTGGGACGTGGCAGAGACAAGGACAAGCACACATCGCTGCACCCAGCGAGGGTAAGGTTGTGGGGGCTCCAGACAGCACGGGACTCACAAAGCCGCTTTCCGCCACGTAGCTTGGAAGGCCGCTGGCCAGGGCCCAGTGATCGGCTGGGGGTGTGCTGCGGGCAGAGAGCAGGGGTCAGATGGGCCAGGCCGGACTGGACGTGTGCGTGCACGGGTCACATGAACTGGACATGTGTGTGCTGGGGTGAGAGGGGCTGGGCTGGACTGGACGTGTGTGTGCAGGGGTCAGGTGGGCCAGGCCTGGGTTGGACGTGTGTGTGCAGGGGTGAAAGGGGCCGGGCCAGGATGTACGTGTGTGTGCAGGGGTGAGGGGCTGGGCTGGGCAGGACGTGTGTGTGCAGGGGGGTGAGGGGCACCAGGCTGGGCTGGACGTGTGTGTGCAGGGGTGAGAGGGGCCGGGCTGGGCTGCACGTGTGTGTGTAGGGGTCAGAAGTGCAGGGCTGGCCTAGATGTAGGTGTGCAGGGGTGAGAGGGGCCGGGCTGGGCTGGACGTGTGTGTGCAGGGGTGAGGGGCACCAGGCCGGGCTGGACATGTGTGTGCAGGGGTCAGAGGGACTGGGCTGGGCTGGACGTGTATGTGCAGGAGTCAGATGGACTGGGCATGTGTGCAGGGGTCTGGGGGTCTCTGGCGCAGTGTGCCATCCTCAGCATTTACTCTCTTCTCTGAGCTCCAGGGGGCTGAGGAGGCCAGGGTGCGGGTTGGAGGACGGCTGTGCTTCCTTCTCCCTCCTCTCCACGCTGCCATGCTGGGGCCCCTCGCTCTTGGAACCCTTCCCTCTCTGGAGGCTGTGTGGCTTCAGCCTGTCTTCTAGGACTCAGCGTTGGTGCCTGCCCTGCCACCCTGACCCTGACTTGTGCTCAAGCCTGGCACCTGGATCCTGGTTCCTGCTTGGGGTCTGGGGATAGGGTCCCGATAGGCTTATGGGATCACAGGGCCACTGGGCCACACAGCTGTCCCTCCCTTGGCTGGAGTCCTGCCCTGACCTCCGGACTGGACTTCCCTCCTCTTCCAGCCCCACAGGGCCAAGACTCGGCCTCCCAGCTGGAGGCTCCACTGTCTGGGTTGGGCTGGTGGAGACAGGGTTAGGTCCTGGAGACTTCATGCTCAGTTGGTGCTAACGAGGCCACCTGGACAGCTTGCCTGGTCCCTGGACGTCCACTCTGGATGTCCACAGTGACTCAGGCTCCTCCGCTGCCCACGTCCTCCTCACCATCTCCCAGAACAGTGAGTTGGCTTCTGTCTCACCCCCCACTCCACTATGCCCCACGGCACACAGAGCACCACAGGTGGGGCCGGACCAGGCCGGCGCTGCTGACCACACCATGGGAGGCCCTGGGAGGATGGCCCTGGAGGCTGAGCCCGGGTCTGAGGGGTGGTCCCTCCCCCGGGGATGCTTCTGGCAAAACCCCGCACTTACGGAATGACCTTGATTTCCTCCTTGCCATGGAGGATGTAGTCGATCACTTTGTAGAAGACGATTTCCTGAGAAACAAAAGACCTTGGTCGGTGGGTTGCCTGGCCAAGCTCCACACGCACACACACAGTTACACACACACAGTTACACACAGACACACACAGCCTGGCCAAGCTCCACACGCACACACACAGTTACACACACACAGTTACACACAGACACACACAGCCTGGCCAAGCTCCACACACACACACACTTACACACACACAGTTACACACACACAGTTACACACAGACACACACAGCCTGGCCAAGCTACACACACACACACTCTTACACACACACAGTTACACACACACAGTTACACACAGACACACACAGCCTGGCCAAGCTCCACACGCACACACACAGTTACACACACACAGTTACACACACACAGTTACACACAGACACACACAGCCTGGCCAAGCTCCACACGCACACACACAGTTACACACACACACAGTTACACACAGACACACACAGCCTGGCCAAGCTCCACACGCACACACACAGTTACACACACACAGTTACACACACACAGTTACACACACACACAGTTACACGCAGACACACACAGCCTGGCCAAGCTACACACACACACACACACTTACACACACACAGTTACACACACACAGTTACACACAGACACACACAGCCTGGCCAAGCTCCACATGCACACACACAGTTACACACACACAGTTACACACAGACACACACAGCCTGGCCAAGCTCCACACGCACACACACAGTTACACACACACAGTTACACACACACAGTTACATGCAGACACACACAGCCTGGCCAAGCTCTCAGGGGCTCCCACACGCACACACACAGTTACACACAGACACACACATGCACACCCCACACATGTAACTGTGCATGTGTACACACATGAC